GGAACTTGATTTCATAGGCATAATTTTGAATTATTTTGGTTGAAAATTTTGAGATTTTTTGTAACTGCCGGTGACAAATAGATTCGCCCATATTTTTTAACAATGATCGAATAGATAATTGTGATTATTACACAAAAAAAAAATTGTCTATTCAAATATTCATATAGGACTATACATAAATTTGATCTACATAGTACACTGGACACCCCAACGTATTGTTATTTGCACAAAATTAACAATACGCTGTGCAAATGCACAAAAAATAAAATAACATTTACATATAAAAAAAATTTGCTACACAAAAGTGCCGAATTTTTAACACTGGTGACAATCATCCAACATTCGTGTAACCATTTTTCTACTTAGAAATCTGTGTAAAGACCATCATTTGCAATCACAGCAGCCATTCTTCGCGGCATAGAATCATAGAGACTGGCAATAAAATTAATATCAATTTTTTTCCATTCTTCTTCTACCATTTTCCACAATTTATTTAGCTTTTCTTTTTTTGTGGCCGATTCTTGCTCTAGCTCTTTTAGACGCTCTTCTGGACATCTTTTTACTTCACTCTAAGCATTTTCTAATGGGTTTAAGTCAGGAGAATACGAAGGCCATTGAAGGGTATTAATATTTCTTTGATTGATCCAGTTTTTCATATCTGTTGCTCTGTGTTTTGGGTTCCCATCATGCTGTAAAATAACATCTTTAAGATCTAAGTCATGTTCAAGTAAGGTGCCAACAAGATCTTTGGCCAGAATAATGCAATAACCTTTATTATCTAGATGAGTTTTGATGCAACATATCTCACCAACACCACGCGAAGTTATACAGCTCCAAACCATTATACCTCCACCTCCAAATTTTTTGGTCTGATCAACATAATCAGGTTCTAATTTATCTCCTTTTTTTCTCCAGCAATATTTACGAAAATTAGACCCAAAAAGTACGAATTTACTCTCATCAGAGAAAACAACCTTCCTCCAATCATCCGCAGTCTATTTAAGATGCTTTTTGGCAAAACGAAGGCGTTCTAATCTGGCTTTTTCATTTATTGCAGGTTTTCTAGGTTTAACCCTGGCTTTATAACCACACCTTCTTAATGTATTTCGTATAGTTTCTATTGAAATATGTTTGCCCGTTTCAGCCACATACTTTGAATGGATTTTAACCGCTGTTGAGCCTTTTTCTGCAGACAATATATCGATTATTTTTTTTTCATCATTGGGTGTTAGGATTCGTGGACATCCGGATCTTTCTCGATCTTACTCTCTCCTGTTTCTCTTTTTCTTTTACAAGTTTTAGACACCGTGAAAGAACCAACATCAAATGACTTTCCTATTTCTCGTGTTAAAAAGTTCAACTCTCTCAATAGGTCGATTCTTTCCCGATCTCCCAAAGATATTTCTTTGTTTGATATTTGTTTACTTGTTACAGATTGTTTTAGGTATTTTAATTTTTGTTTTTTAGATACTTTAGATGCTTGTTTCATTTTTAGTCAAAAAATTTATTAAACCGGGAATTTTACAAATCAAGGGATTGCCGCTTTTATAATTTTGATATTATCTATGTACTGTATGTATATTGTATGAATTACTCTTTTGTCATTTTCTTATGTATTACATATGATTTTACAAATTGTTTAATTTAGAAGCCTAAGGTGTGCGTAATACTCGATACATAAGTATCAATGCTATCTCTAATGTAAATATGAGGTAATTAGGTGTAGGATTCCAACTACAGGAGGGAACGTCAATATTACATGACTGATTCTTCACCCGGTGTGCAGCATATAAAAAAATTATTTTACAATACCAGATCATTTTGCTAGTACATGTTATAATTATAATCTAATACCATTTTTATTATAATAAAATAGTTTGGATTGTCATCATATGTACTAGCGAATGATCTGGTAATTTTTTTATATGCTGCACACCAATAGCTGGCAGTAAAATTATTGAATTACAGCATTACGGCATTTTACCAGTTGGTAGAATTAATTATGGCATAGTACCTGATTGCCGTAAATATTATATGCCTTAATGCTATAATGCCGTAATGCATAATGTCATAATAAATATTATGATAATGTAAAATATAATAGTACTATTATACTATAATATGATATGGTGCAAGTGCTCTACATATGGGGTTGAGTCAATAGAAATCAAGCAAATTTTTTCTAAGTAAATTTTTTTTAAACTTTAAACAACAATAAC